AACACCTGGCTCCTGCCATTGGATCAGCGCGGTGCGCCGCCCGCAGCGCGTCGGCCGTGGTGGCCATTGGAGGGTGAACCAACGGCAAAAGGAAGACCTTTCTCTCTGTCTCTCTCACTGTCTACTCTGCCCGTCAAAAAAATAAAAAAAAAAAATTTTAAAAAAAGAGAATGATGATGATGACTATAGATGAAAGATGAGTAGATAGGTAAAGAGAAAGATGATAGATGGGTAGATAGATGATAATGGGTAGATAGGCAGCGAAATGATAGAAGATAGATTAGATAGATGATAGATTGATAGTAGATAGATAGGTAGGTAGATAGATAGATAGATAGGTGCCAAGGAACGATGTGGCCCCAGACTTGTGACTGAAACGGCCACCCTGGAAGGGAATCTTCTAGCCCTATGAACCCAGCTGATGACTTGCAGATCAGACTCAAATTTGCCCAACCAAGCCCCTCCCAAATTCCTGCCCCACAAAATCAAAAGCAAAATAAAACTATTATTTTAATTTACAAACAGAGTAGTTTAGTAGGCAGTAGATAACTAGAACACTGGGAAAACACGCATTTTGCCCAAGTTCAGGTTGCAGGTTTTTACTCTTACCTGAGTCAGGAGACTTGTTAGTACTTCCTCAGAAATCTCAATGCCTCCACCAACTCCTATGCTCAGCTTCCCTTTTGTTACTGAATTAGGAGGCAATCTCAGTGTTTCTCAAGCTGCAATCATCTGAATGCCTGGAGTGTTCAACAGGCAGATTCCTGGGCTTTGCTTCAAACCCACTGAAAACTGATCTCCAAGGGTAGGGCCCAGAAACCTGCACAGAAGTCCCTCAACCTACCATGAGGTCATGTCCCCTTAAGCCCCTCGTAAGGTTGAAAATATTGTACGTTGGACATGCATTTAAGACACCTAAGCTCCCACACAGCAGAGCTTAGCTGCACAGCACACTGTAGAGCCTTGGTGGAGTCCCCTGGTGACTGCACTGACTGGGAGCTGCACTCACTGCTGCTGCCACCGGGGTCGCCAGAGAGGATCAGCACGAGCCCAGGAAAGGATCCAAGTTCAAAATCTGCAAGATGGTTTCCGCCAAATGCTGTCATCTTCACATCATAGTAAAAGCAAAAAGACCTTAAGGCAAATCATCCTAAATCAAGGACTGCCTGTGTTTTTAAAAATTCCCTCGTACTTAGGGCCAGTGCAGTGGCACAGTGGGTTAATGCTCTGGTCTGAAGTGCCAGCATTCCATATGGGCGCCAGTTCAAAACCCGGTTGCTCCACTTCCAATACAGCTCTCTGATGTGGCCTGGGAAAGCAGTAGAAGATGGCCCAAGTCCTTGGGCCCCTGCACTCACGTGGGAGACCCGGAAGGAAGCTCCTGGCTCCTGGCTTCAGATCAGCGCAGCTTCGGCCATTGAGGCCAACTGGGGAGTGGGCCATCGAATGGAAGACCTTTCTCTCTCTCTCTCTCTCTCTCTCTCTCTACGTCTCCTCTCTCTGTGTAACTCTGACTTTATTTTTTTAAATAAATAAGTAAATCTTTTTAAAAAATTCCCTCATACTCAATACATAAAGATTCTGCTTCCAGGACCTTCCTAAATCCAAAGCCAATTCAAGGTGATTTCCAAAATCATCTCAGAGGCATTTTGGTAACTGTGGTCATAAAGTATTGGGACCTTTCAACACCGCGATTTCACCCACTTGTGCTTACGGATTGGTACCATCCTACGTAGCAAGAGCTAAGTCCCTTGCACTCACCCCATGCCATTAAACAACCAATTGATCTGACAAACTAAACTTCCCAGTGATTACCAACTGAGCATCACAATCCACCAGTCTTTCTTTTGGACAAAGCAAATCAATAGTAAAATTCATTTCGAACAAACTTTACTGCAAGGTGGTGTGGGCAATCCCGTAAAGAAGAGAGGGACCCTTGACCTCTGGCAGCTCAGGTTGGTGAGGCAAACAGTCAGTTACGTAAACAATGCTTCTCGTTATGCAGACAGTAACAGAGCACGACAGAAGAAGCATTCTGCTGTACCTGGCACCTAAGGCCTACAGATCTTGAGCAAGAGAAGGGGCTGTGTTTGGAAAGCACATCTGAGAGGCGCTTTTCATTTTTAATAAGGAAAACTTCCTCCGGGACAGAACTGCCACAGAGCACAGCAAATCCTTTCACAAGAGACCAGGGAGGAACAATGGGGAATTGAGATGCTCAGGGCCACACATGAGCAAAGCAATGAGGTTAGTCACAAGCTATTAATGATGGATTAATTGTTCAGTGACTCCTGTCAACAGGATGACACCCCAAACTTCCTGGGGTCCCAAGAAGGAGACAGTTCCTGGCCCCACAGAACTCCTAAGCAAATCAGTGCTGCCACCACAATAGCCCTGTTGTGACATCATGACTCCATGGAGGTTGTTAGGACTGATGATCACGCGGAGTTTAATGTTTACTCTGCAAATATAGGCAGATCATAGCAATCGGGAGAGTTTACACGTCATCTGCATGGTGTCTGTCCCTTACTAAAAGCCTCTAGTGTGTTCATCTAGTCCTGTGTAGTGAGATTGACTGAGCCAGTGTGTAGGTTTTAATAATATGAGACGGGGAAGTCCAGTGACTTGAGGAGGATCACACACGAGGGCAGCGTGAGAGCCGGAAGTCCACAGCACTCTGACTCGAAGGCCAGTGTTCTGTGGCCTAAGAAGCCACGGCAGCGACAAGACTGCACATTCAGCAGCAGACTGGGCGAGCTCGACTCGTACTGACTGACTGAGAGGTACTCAGGCTGCACGTGCGTTGGCTGAATATGGACCCAAATCTCCTTCAATAATGAGATTTTCTCCAAAGCCCTTCATCCCTCCCCCTGACCCCCAGCCTCAGTTTCCTCACCTGTAAAATCAGCCTGCTGTACCAGAATGGGAGGACTAAGTGATAAAACCAGAAGCAAACTGATGCGGGCTGGCGCTGTGGCATAGTGGGCTAAGCCTCTGCCTGAGACACTAGCATCCCATATGGATACTGGTTTATGTCCTGGCTGCTTCTCTCACGATCCAGCTCTCTGCTATGGCCTAGGAAAGCAGTAGAAGATGGCCCAGCTCCTTGGGCCCCTGCACCCATGTGGGAGACCTGGAAGAAGCTCCTGGCTCCTGCCTTGAGATCAGCCCAGCTCCAGCCATTGTGGCCATGTGGGGAGTGAATAAGTGGATGGAAGACCTCTCTCTCTGTCTCTCCCTCTCTCTGTCTGTAACTCTATCTCTCAAATAAATAAATTCTTAAAAAAAAAAAAAAAAAGAATCAAGGGCCAGCACTGCGGCTCAATAGCCTAATCCTCCGCCTGTGGCACCTGCACACACACACCTGCGGTGCCGGTTTTAGTCCCTGTCGGGGCGCTGGATTCTGTCCCGGTTGCCCCTCTTCCAGGCTAGCTCTCTGCTGTGGCCAGGGAGTGCAGTGGAGGATGGCCCAAGGGCTTGGGCCCTGCACCCACATGGGAGACCAGGAGAAGCACCTGGCTCCTGGCTTCGGATCAGCGTGGTGCACCGGCCACAGCGCGCCGTCCGCAGCGGCCATTGGAGGGTGAACCAATGGCAAAGGAAGACCTTTCTCTCTGTCTCTCTCTCTCTCACTGTCCACTCTGCCTGTAAAAAAAAAAAAAAAAAAAGAATCAAAAGAGCCAGATCTCTTTGCATGAACAAGAAAGCAATGGAGCCACCAGAACCAAAGCCTCGACAATGATGCTGGAACTCAGGAAGTACCCAGTCCGGACGCTGCCTCATCACTGCATACCCTGCATGGTCAGGGCTGAGACTGCCCGCATCTGTGCACGGCGACTCAAGTGCCCTCCTCATTAATTCCTCCGCAACCAGCTTTCCTCCAGCGAGGAACACATCACTCTCTCTTCTATTGAGCCCCAGAAGAAATAGCTCACTTGCCTTTAGGGACCATGTTTTATGGAAAAAAAAAAAAAAACATATTAGACTCACAGAAAGAAAAGTGGATTCCCGAGTCTCTCATCTCCTGCTGGCTCCAGGGCATCCGCCCTGACTAAAATGACAAAGCAGCCTCCTGACAGGGAAGACCACCATTAAGGCAACTCAGTGCTGTGTACTATCCAATTCCAAAAGACACGAGTTGAATGCATGGGGCCGGCTGCCTTTTGTTTCCTAGGACCGCAATCAGTGTTGGCCCCCAAAGACCCGCACGCAGCTTTCCTGTTTGCCCAACAAGGCAAGCATGTTCAAGGCTGTCTTATCAGGACCACCAAAGAATTGGTTATGAGCAACCCCTCACAGTTAACTAGCTCCTTTAGTAACGTAAAGAAAATCTATGCCAGGGGTTTGTCAGTGTTTGATGGATGTTTTCATTCTTGGAGTGTTATTATTGCTCTCCTTATGTGGCCAAGCTGCAAAGGGGAGTCTGAGCTTATTAGGCCCCACACCCCATCTGCCGCCATGCCCCGGGGCTAGAATCTTGTTGCCGAGTCCAACCCTGAGCTTCACAATTAGAGCTCTGTCCAACAGAAAGGACCAACGATATTTTCAGGGAGCTTTGCTCGACTTCTTGGACTTAAGAAATTCTGAGCTCTTCACTCGGTGCTGGTCTGAAATACCAAGAAGAATTGAGAAGAAAAATACTTTGTGATTTGGCCAATGTGGTTACCAGGGCCTTGTCTTGGATTGAGCAGGCTTGGTTGGTTGTCATCAGAGATCAGAGTGGCTGGAAGACGAGGAGCAAAGAAACAGCCCAGCTACTGGCCAAGCTTTGGTTCTAAGAGCCAAGGCTTCTTTTTTCACCAAAGTTTCTTTTTAGTAATTTTTTTTCAGGTTATTAAAAGAAAAAGCTCTCCTGAAAAAAAAATCCAGAAAGGTGTCCATTTTAAAAGGCTATCAGTGTCACCCACAGCCTCTCTAGTAGCTTGTATTCTCTAAAGATGGCCACACACAAACACACACACACATCATCATCATCATCATCATCCCTCAGCCCTTCTTACAATGTGATCCTGACACTTCTCCCCGTTGAAAGTCCATGTTTCCTCCTGTTGAAGCTGTGGGTCTTTGTAGCGGAATTGACCAATCAGAATTCAGAGGAAGTGGTGATGTGTAATTTCCAATGTTATGTCATAAAAGGTGATACTGCCTCAGGTTGGTTTGTGCACTCTCTCTCTCTCTTTCTCTCTCCCCTTTTTCTCCCTCCCTCACAAAACCTGCGACTTAACAGTGCTGAACTGAATGCTAGAGAAATCCCATGGAGAGACTGAAGAGAGACAGAGAAAGATGCCTGGAAGCCCCACCTCTTCCTGCCTCCAGCTGTCTGAGTCTCCCCAGCTCAGGCACCAGACACCTGAGCGAGCCTTCAGATGCCTCCAGCATTCTCTCCACCCCAACCAATGCCAAGTAGAAGAGAGATGAGCCATGCCCACCAAACCCTGCCCTGCTGGCACACTCATGAATCACACAAGTGGTTGTTGTTTCCAGCTGCTAAATTCTGGGGGCCATTTGTTGGACAGCATTTGAACAACCTCATCCACTGTAGACAGCACAGTGACCATGCTGGCACCTAGTACTCTCAGAGGATAAATGGATCTCTAAGTCACTCACAAGCAAGTAAAAAACTTGCTCAACCTAGCAGTTTTGGCTCCAGATGACTGTTTGTACAAATTATCAGTCTGGGACACAGAACCTATTTTCTCCAGCAAAGCATGTTCACATGGTGGGCCAGATCCCAGAGATCTGTTCAACCCATGACTCACCTATGAAATGGGTGGCCCTATGGGAAAGGCTCTACAGGATAGCCTTGCACAGAATGCTTCTTCCTTTCTTTTAGCTTTTCAAGTATGTCTTTAGCCTCCAAGCTTTTGTCGTGCCTGTATCTGTTATCAACATCAACAATCTGATCAACGTCCTAGAAGAAACGTTAAGGAATTCAACACAGGAAAATTTCACAGAAAAATTAGGCTTTGTGTTCACAAAGCAGGAGAGGAGATGAATGGTTGACAGAAAGGAAGCTGTTCCCTAACCAGCATTATTACCCTGTGGAACTACATTCCACTATATACTATATGCCACCAGCATCCCATGTCAGCAGTTTCTAGTCCTGGCTGCCCCTCTTCCAATCCAGCTCTCTGCTATGGCCTGGGAAAGCAGGAGAAGATGGCCCAAGCACTTGGGTCCCTGTACCCATGTGGGAGACCCAGAAGAAAATTCTTGCTCCTGGCTTCGGATCGGCCCAGCTCCAGCCATTTTGACCATTTGGAGAGTGAACCAGTGGATGGAAGACCTTTCTCTCTGTCTCTTCCTCTCTCTGTAACTCTATCTCTCAAATAAATAAAATCTTTTAAAAAAAATGACCTCCAGGTAAATTACACTTTGGAGTTAAGAGAAGCACAATCTTGGGGCCGGCACTGCAGTACAGCGGATTAAAGCCCTGCCCTGAAGCGCTGGCATCTCATATGGGCGCTGGTTCTAGTCCTGGCTGCTCCTCTTCCGATCCAGCTCTCTGCTATGGCCTGGGATAGCAGTGGAGGATGGCCCAAGTCCTTGGGTGCCTGCACCTACATGGGAGACCTGAAAGAAGCTCCTGGCTCCTAGCTTCTGGCTCCTGGCTTTGGATCAGTCAGCTTCAACCGTTGTGGCCATCTGGGGAGTGAACCAGCAGATGGAAGACCTCTCTCTCTATCTCTACCTCTCTTTGTAACTCCGTCTTTCAAATAAATAAAATAAATCTTTGGGAAAAAAAAAGAGACGCACAATCCTTCTTCCTCTCTCTTCTGTGGTCCAGCTGGGCTGACCCTCAGGCAGAGCTAATCACTCATGGGGACAGATTCAAGGCTAAGCAAATGCTGCAGGTCTAATCACAGAGGATCAGACAGAGACAGTTGCCAGCACAATGCAGAGACAGGAACCTTGTCTTTGGGGATTGTTCGGCACATGAATAAGCCAATAACATGAGCACCCTGCAGAACAGGTGGTTCCAAAAACAGAGTATCAGGAGAAGTGGCTCTCCCTCCCTAGTGCAGAGCGCAGAGGGAAGATGCGTTCCCTGCCTCTGTGGAAGGGAAGAATGGAGAGAAGTGCTTTTCCCCACCAGAAGCTAACGTGAGAAAGCAGCTTGAGAACGGAGGCCACAGGGAGCTGAGATATGGTGAGGCCATATCTTGGTGGTAGCATCTACACAGCTGCATCCAGGCAACCCTGAAGTTACAGGAGACATTAATTCCCTTTTGGGAATATCTGCCCCCTACTCGCAAGAGTCTCACGCAGCTAAGAGATGCAGAAGAGGTGCTTCCATGGCACCAGAGCCAACATCAACTGAGGTATACTTCAGGGTCACAGGGAAGAGGGCTCTTGGTTGACTTACTTTGTTTTGATTTTTTTTTTAATAGAAAAGAGCCCACTTTATTGGGAAGCAGAGTGAGCAGTGACCAAAGGACACCTCACACTCAAAAAGATACACAGGATGATTGCTAAGAAAAACCAACTGGAACGTGGGTTCCTCTGGGCAACTTCCCCACCCACACCTCCCCTGGGGATGGGGAAATCCCAGCCATTATCCTAAAGGCTGCTGTGGCCCTGACCACTGCAGGCATCTGGGGAGTGAACCAGCACATAGATGCTAGCATTCTCTCTCTCTCTCTCTCCCTCCCTCCCTCCCTCCTTCCCTCCCTCTCTGCCTCTCAGATAAATAATAAATGAGTAAAATGTAAAGCTACAGAGACATATATGTTGCCTTCACTGGAATGTAAAGGAAACATAACAGAGAAACTAATTAATGGTTGGCTGCCACCACAGCTCACTTGGATAATCCTCCGCCTGCGGCACCAGTACCCTGGGTTCTAGTCCCGGTTGGGGTGCCAGATTCTGTTCCGGTTGCTCCTCTTCCAGGCCAGTTCTCTGCTGTGGCAAGGGAGTGCAGTGGAGGATGGCCCAGGCCCTTGGGCCCTGCACCTGCACGGGAGACCAGGAGGGGGAACCTGGCTCCTGGCTTCAGAGAGGCGCAGCACACCAGCCGTGGTGGCCATTTTGGGGGTGAACCAACGGAAGGAAGACCTTTCTCTCTGTCTCTCTCTCTCTCTCTCACTGTCTAACTCTGCTTGTCAAAAAAAAAAGAAACTAATTCATGGTGAACAGTGTGTTTGATGCCTAAGTGTTGGGACCTTATCGTTCCTATACTCATGGCAGACTGGGAATCAACAAATTCTTTCAGAGTTAATCTTTCAGGATTTGTGGGCAACACAGGGCTCTGTTTTGTGTTCCTTCTTATTTTCCAACATTTTAAAAATGGAAGGCCCATTCTTAGCCTGGGGGCTGTACAAAAAGGATGTCACAGGATGGATTCAGCCCATGAGCACTCGTTGGCTGATCCTTGCGTAGGACTGGGCCGTATAACAAGATGTCAGGGACTTGCACCCACTGATGAGGGGGTTTCGTACTTGATGTGGTGAAATGAGGACTAACTCATTACACTTCTGCATATTTGTTCATCGAATCACCCTCGACAGACTCACGCAGGTGGGCTCTGCGGGGCTTCAGTGTTGCTGGCAGCATCAACTTCAGTGAAAACATTTCCAGAAAGTGACTACTTCATAAATTAGCTCTGCATAAAGCAGACTAAGACCTTCCCTCTCATTTTATTGAGCTCACACCCCTGGGTAAGTCTATACATGAAAACCATGCAAAATAGATATTCCACTGGGGGCCGCCATTGTGGTGCAGCAGGTTAAGCTGTCGCTGGTAATGCTGGCATCCAACCATAACAGGGCGACAGTTCTATTCTTGGCTGCTCCAATTCTGATCCAGCTTCCTGCTAACGTGCCTGCGAAAGCAATAGGGGATGGCTCAAGTGCTTGGGCCCCTGCACCCATGTGGGAGACCTAGAAGAAGCTTCTGGCTCCTGGCTTTGGCTGGCCCAGACCCAGGCGTTGCGGCAGACAGAGGATCTCCCTCTCTTTCCTTCTCTGTGTGTGTATGTGCGTGTGTGTGTTTCTGTCCCCCTCCTCTGTCACTTCGTCTTTCAAATAAACACATAGGTTTTTTAAGTATATTGTACTTATGTAGAAAATAGCAGTAAGTTGCTTCTTTCTGTAAATGAAAACCAGTTTTCATCTACGATTTAATTGTGACATTTGAATGTCACTTGGGACACATCATGTGGGAATGCAGAAAAAGTGTTCAACTCATGGGAATGTCAACTGCATTACAGAGATCTGGTCCCCTCACCCCTACCCACCCATAGCCAGTGCAGCCCCCCTCAAATTACCATGACAACCACTAGAGTCAAATAATTTTGTACAAGTGCAGTTTTAAAATTTCTAGAGTTTCCACCAAATCCTTGGGAGGGTATCTGCAAGGATGGGGCCCTGAGGCTTCAGTGCCATCGGCTTCTCAGTCCATCTGCCTTGGCCTTGAGGTTGAAGCACCAGGTAGAACTTCTGCCTTGGACTAGAACAATATGATGCTAGAGCCTGGCCCAGGACCTAGACTCACCCCTGCACAGTACAGGGCTCCAGCAACCCTCACCAATGAACAAAAAATCCTGCATGAGCCAACCAATCAGTGGGCTCCCAATCAGGGTTGACTACAAAAAAGAAATCAGGGCCTGGTGCAAAATGAAAATATAAAGTCCCTAATTCAAAAATCATTCACAATTTTAAGGCAGTGACAACAAAATATTGAACCAAGCACAGGGACCTTCAGAGCATCAGCCTCATGTGATGGCATAGCTGGAAGCCAGTGCTGCCATCAATCAAGCCAACTGACCATCTTAACAAGTATGCATTATTAATTGGTGTTTCATATCCACTATTTGGCATGGTTTCTCAACCCTAGCCTTAATCTGGCTTCCAAGGTAGAAAAAGTATAGCTTGGCCACCTAGAGTCACCTCTAGAAAGGAGAGAAGAGGAGGGGACTTAGAACCAGTCTCCCAGTTTGCCCCCTATCCCTGGTGGCTCTCCTGCAGCCATAAGGGTTCTTGTCCCTTGTCCTACTTGCAAACCCCGAAGCAGTGGGTATAGATTGGAACGAGGGCAGAAAGTCTGGGGCCTCAGCCCCACCAAAGGCATTTTCAGTTTGAACAAACATGCACACCCACACACCTTGATGCCGGCTGTGCTAAGCCTATCCTTTTCATTGAAATGCCTGGGTTTCCTTTCAGGAAAACTCCAGTCACAAAAAGGCACCAATGATTTGCAATGAGTTGTAAAACTATGGCCCAGCTGAAAAGGGAGCCTTAGCT